ACGAGGATCCAAATGCCCTGATAACAAAGCCAAGGTGCCTCTCCCCCGTGATTTAACTGGTGAATCTGATGCATTTCCCTGCATTACTTGTCATTTTCCCTCCCAGCATCACGAGGGAAGACAATGTGCCCGGGAGCTGAGAGCTGACAAACCCTTGCTCTCCTATGGCACCTGCCAGCTGGAAGTTTCAAAGCATTTTGTAATCATTAAAAGACTGAGCTTCCTAGACCTGATCAGGGGTTTCTGCCTCTGTTGTAAGAGGAGTAAAGTAGGGTCTGGAGGTGAAATGATGACAAAGCAACAGGAGAGCTGAAGTGTTCTGAATATTGCCCCAATGGCTGTCCTGTATTGGAAGTATTCATGGGCTAGGAGGAGCTACTGCCCTGGATGGGCACTGGGCTGGGATTAAGCTGGCCAACAGGTTTTATTCCCAACTCTTCCTTCCACCCATTTCTGGGTGATCTTGCTTTTGTGTGTCTTAACTTCCTCATCTCCAAAAGAAAGATAGTGGCCAACCTCTTGTAAGAGATCCTTAAATATGCAGCTGATATACAGTTGTGTGAAGTACTGGACAAAAGCAGTGTTTGGTATTTTGGAAGGCCGCCTCTCAGGTGGATGTAGGCATTCAAATACCAAATATTACAGTCTAACACTGACACTGAGAACACTGGGCATCAGGCACAGGTGAGAGAAGCATAGAAAATGGGGAAAAGCAGCACTGGGGGTCCCTTTTGCTGATCACATAAAGCCACACACCGGGCTCCAATTTCAGGAACTGTCACTAGTGTCCCAGAGCCATGAGCAATCAAGGCAAGAGAACAGCTCTGTACCCCTGGTACACCTGTCCAAACAGGTGCACTGCATTAAGGATGCTAACTGAAACTAACGGCGCTCCAGGCTGCTGCGAGTGAAGGGAAGGGACAAGAGGAAGAACCTGGTAGAGGAATGCTTCGATTGTTGTGCTCTTGCCTGGAAAGTCAACATTTTCTCTATTTCTGCTGTGTTTTCAGGTTAGTAAATGCTGCTTTATGTTATATTTATAGTCCTAACCGTCAGCAGAGTTCCACTACTATTCCTCCTGTCTGTTCTGCAAATATCTGCAGCCATCGTGGGCTCGTTCCTGTGGCGAGGGGCAGACGTGGTGGGGGCGAGGGCCCGGTTCTCCCTCTCTCCCGGGTGATGAGCACCTTCCCCGAGCTCCCCTGCTCCCGGCCCGGCGAGGAGCGCCTGGGGGGCTGCGGGGGCACTGCAGGGCTGTCTGGGGCTCCTGGGGCACACACACAGTGCACAACACACACAGTGCACAACACACACAGTGCACAACACACACACACACACAAACACACACACACACACACACACAAACACACACTCACACACACACACACAAACACACACACAGAGGCGCTCCTGTCACACACACACACACACACACACACACACACAGGCGCTCCTGTCACACACTCTCACACACACAAACACACACAAACACACACAAACACACAGAGGCGCTCCTGTCACACACACACACACACACACACACACAGAGGCGCTCCTGTCACACACACACACACACACACACAAACACACACAGGCGCTCCTGTCACA